AAGATGCCCAATCTCCAAGGAAATGTAATCACCAAGGAAATGGAAATCAAAACCACAATGAGAGGCACCTGGCTGGCTCAGCGGGAGAGCATGCAACTCTTGATCTCAGGGCTGTGAGTTTAAGCCCCACGTTGGGTGTGACGCCTACTTTAAAAAAACAAAAAACAAAAAACTACAGTGCGGTATCACTTCACACCTGGCTATTATCAAAAAGGTAAGAGATAAGTGTTGCCAAAAATGTGGAGAAAAGGGAATCCTTCTGCGCTGTTGGTAGGAAGGTAAGTTGGTGCAGCCACCATGGAAAACAGCATGATGTTAAAAAAAAAAAAAAAAAACCCTACCAAATGATCCACCAATCCCACTTCTGGGTATCCAAATGAAATAAAAATCAGCATCTCAAAGGGATATCTGCACTCCCACGTTCACTGCAGCATTATTTACAACAGCCAAGCCAAGGCAACATTAGTATCTGTCTACAGATGAATGAATAAAGATGTAGTACATACATACCATGGTGTACTATTCAGCCATAAGGAAGAAGGAAATCAGAAATCCTGTCATTTGTGACATGGATAGACCTTGTGGGAACTATGCCAAGGGAAACAAGTCAGACAAAGAAAGGCAAATACTGCGTGTTATCACCTGTGTGTGGAAGTAAAAAAGCCAAATTCACAGAAACAGAAAGTAGAATGGAAGTTGCCAGGGGCTGGAGGGGAAATGGAGAGATATTAATCAAGGATGCAAGGTTCCAGTTATAAGATGATTAACTTCTAGGGATCTAATGTACAACATGGTGACTATAGTTGGCAATACTGTATGACATACTTGAAAGTTGCCAAGAGAGTAAATCTTAAATGTTCTCACTACATAAAAGAATTGGTAATCATGTGAGGTGACAAAGGTATTGACAATACTTTGACAGTCATATTGCAATATGTAAATGTATCAAATTAATATGTTGTATAACTATACACAGTGTTATATGTCAATTATATCTCAATAATACTGAAAAAAATACAACTACCAAATATGGTCCAGCTTCTGGGTATATCTCCAAAGGAATTAAAATCAGTATGTTGAAGAGATATCTGTACTCTCATGTTCACTGTAGCATTATTCACAACAGCCAAGATACGGAAGGAACCTAAATGTCTACCAATGGACAAATTGATAAAGAAAATATATAGATATACAATGGAATATTATTCAGCCTTTAAAAAGAAAGAAATTCAGCCATTTGCAACAACATAGATAAAACTTGGAGGACATAAATAAGCCAGACACAGAAGGACAAATGCTAAGTGACACCACTCATATGAGGAATCTACAATAGTCAAACTCATAGAAGGAGAGTTTAGAATGGTGATTGTCAGGGGCTGGGGGAAATGCAGAAGTACTATTCAAACGGTACAAAGTTTCAGTTATACAAAATGAGTAAGACCTAGAGATCTACTATATCTCATAGTTCCAATTAATTTTACTATAGTGTATAATTAGAAAGTTGCCAAGAGGGTAGATCTTATGTTAAGTGCTCTTGTCACATACACAAAAGAATAATAATGAAATGATAATAATAATAAAAAGAATAAGAATAAATAAAGAGAGGAAAGGAAACTTTTAGATGTGAATACTTTTATGGCATAACTTGTGGTGATGGGTCCATGGATATATAATTATCTTCCAACTGTATGTATCACACTGCATACATTAAATATGCATCGGCTTTTGTGTGTCAGTTATACCTCAATGAAGTGGTTTAAAAAAGCAATTAGACCTAAATTCAAAAGCTAAAACAATAACACCTTTAAAAGAAAACATAGGAGACTATCTTCATAATTTAGATGTAGGCAGTTTCCTTATACAGGAAGAAAATAGGAACCATAAGAGGAAAAAAATCCGATAAATTAGACTTTACAAAAATTTTAAAAAGTCTGTTCTTGAAAAGATATAGTTACGAAAATGAAAGACTGGAAGAAAACATTTATAAAACAGATCTCTAACAAAGGACTAGTAACCAAGATAATATAAAAAGCATCTACTTACAATGCCACCAAAAAAGACTAAAAAAAATTTTTAAATGGCCAGATATTCTGAATAGACACTTCATAAAATAAAATATATGAAAGGAAAATAATTATAATAAAAAATGCTGACCAAAATTAAGCATCAAGGAGATGCAAAATAAAAACTAAATTGCCGGGCGCCTGGGTGGCTCAGTGGTTAAAGCCTCTGCCTTCGGCTCAGGTCATGATCCCAGGGTCCTGGGATCGAGCCTCACATCGGGCTCTCTGCTTGGCAGGGAGCCTGCCTCCTCCTCCTCTCTCTCTCTGCCTGCCTCTCTGCCTACTTGTGATCTGTCAAATAAATAAAAATCTATTAAAAAAAAAAAAGAATCTTAAAAAAAAAAAAAACAAACCTAAATTGCCACAGGATCAACTAAAATTATAATAGACCACCACCAAATGGAGGCAAGGATGTGGAACTACAGGAACTCTCACAGTCTAGTGGGAGGAGTACAAAATGCTAAAACCACTTTGGGAAAAGCTCTAGCAATTTCCTTTCTTTTTTTTTAAGATTTTATTTATTTATTTGATGGGCGCGGGGGAGAGAGAGACAAAGAGAAAGCACATGCACAAGTCAGGAGCGCAGCAGAGGGAGAAGGAAAAGCAGGCTCTCCGCTGAGCTCGATCCCAGGACCCTGGGGATCATGGCCTGAGCCAAAGGCAGTCGCTTAATCAACTGAGCCACCCAGGCACCCCAAGCTCTAGCAGTTTCTAACAAAACTAATCACATATGTTCACCACATTACCTACTAATCCGAACCATGGGTACTTCCCAAGAGAAATGAGGACATATTTCCACATGAAGACTTATTCAAAAACGTGATTTTCTTCAAAATAGACAAAAACTGGCAACAGCTCCAGTGTGTATTAATGTGTATTAATAGAAGTGCGTATGAATAGAAGAACTGACAATGAAATTGCGACATACTCACCCAATGGAATACTATCCAGCAGTAAAAAGAAACGGATTACTGACACATGCTGTATCAATGAATTTCAAAAATGTAATACTAAGTGAAATAAGCTTTACATAAAAGTTTGTTACAGAACACCATTTATAGAGAGTTACAGAATAAATAAAACTATGGCATAACAAAGTAAGAACAGTGGTTGCGTCCATGCACGTGGGGGCAGGAATTGACAAGGAAGGAGCATGAGGCAGCCTCGGAGGGTAGTGGTAGTGTTCTATATCTCAATAGTAGGGGTTTGGGTTCCATAAGTACATGCATTTGTAAAAACTTAGCACACTTAAGATCTGTGCATTCACTATATGTAAAACATAACATCATCAGAGAAATCTGTAAATATACTGAACACTAGTTAATGATCCACACGTTGCAACATTTAGGGGATGCATACAGATGTCTGCAATTTATTGAAAAACATGTTTAAAATAAGGTAGACTGATGAACAGAGGGGTAGATATGTGATAAAACAAGCATAGTAAAATGTTAAAAGAGGTGGCTATAAAAGTATTTACCATAGGATTCTTTTGCCTTTCTTGTATGCTTGAAAATGTCCCTAAAAAAATATCACGGCAAAGGGGGAATAATAAAAGAGAAATCAAAGAAGGAAGAAATAGCACTGAATGCTAAGGGAGAGGCACCAGGAAGGAAGGAAAGTAGCGAGAGAGGGAGGTAGTGAAAGGAATACGAAAAAAATATAGTAGTCCAAATCCAGTGAGAAAGGCCATTTCAGAGGAGGCAATGGCCAATTGTGTAGAATTCTCCTGAAAAGTCAAGTAACACCAAAATAGGCCCGTTGGATTTGGTTGCAGGAGGGGTGTGAATGGAGGAGAGTGAAGCCACACTGAAGTGGAGAGAGAAAAAGCTGTTGGTGAGGAAAGAGAGTAAATGAAAACAACTCCTAAGCAACCTAGCTATGAAGGAGAAAAGAGAGAGGGGGCTGCAGTTGAAGAAGGATGTGAGGTCAAGATCACGGACAGTACTGGAGCACGTTTATGTGGATGGGAATGATGCAGGAGAGAATCAGTGGATGCAGTAGGTAGAACTGTGTCCCCCAATATGATACACTTATGTCCTAACCCTCAGCACCTGTAAATATTACCTCATAGAGAAACAGGACCTTTGGGGATGTAATTAAAATGAGGTTATACTAAATTTGGGGAGGCCTTGATTCAATGACTGGTGTCCCTATAAGAGGACACAATAAGAAAAGGAATTTGGACACAGACAGAGAGACCCAGAGAGAATACCATGAGACAGCAGAGACAGATATTGGAATGACACATCTGGAAGCCGAGGAACGTCTGGGATTGCCAGCCACAACCAGAAGGTGGGAAGAGAAAAAGAAGGATTCTCCCCTAGAGCCTTCAGAGAGAGCGCATGGCTCTGCTGACACCTTGATTTTGGACTTCTAGTCTCCAGAGTTGTGAGAAGTGATTTCTGGTACTTTTAGCCACCAAGGTTGTAGTACTTCGTTATGGCAGTCCTGGAAAACTAACACAGGGGAGAGGAATGGGGAAGACAAAGAGGTGGTAAGGAGAGGGGGGATGTTCTTGCGAAGGTGACATGGAACCATTTGCCTGCAGGAGGGGGTGGGCCTTTGACAGTATCAGGGCTATACTCTCTTCCACCTAAGTAAGTAGACCATCATTCAGAGAGGACCTAAACAATCAAAGGCTTGTCCAGAAGCTTTCGGCAATGAAGAATGCTTCAGACAGCCTTTGTGACAGACTCTCTGTCCTAATCACTAATACACAATATGCAGGTGCACATTCAAGTTACTAGTCTTCCCCTAAACATACAAGAACCAACCCATGAAACTGAAGTGCAGCAATTCTCTGCCTTCCAAAAGAGGTTTGCCAACAAAGACGCCAGTCTTACCAATATGGAATGGAACCAAGTGCTTGGCCAATGGTCCAAACAAAACCACCAGAAGAAAAGCCTGGTAATCCAATTTCGGGAAGCTCCTTACCTTGAGCTGCTGCTGGAGTTCACTGTTCAGCCGGGCCAGCACTGCATTTGCCTCTTTATTTTTGCGGATAGCAGTCTGAATTGCCTTCTTCTGTTTGGAAGACTGTCTATAAAAAAGTACAAACAGTTCACCGAAATAGAACTCAGAGGTCCGGACCCTTGCGGGTCAGAACACCCTGACTCATGAGAAGTGCTCAATGAGGGACTAATGCCACAGGCTCCAAAAGAATATCACATATTCACAGGCAGGCAGACACACGCCAAACGAAACACGTTTGTCGGGATGAATTATTTACACCTGAAGTAGTTCCCATTTTATAACTTGAAAGAAAAGCTGTGAATTGGACCTTTTCAAACTTCGCATTCCATTTATTCCAAGACATTTTAATAAGTATTTCTTCCTGACAAACCACATTAACTAGAATGCCCTTTTCGTGTAAGCCTTAATGGCATTTAAAAGACCTGCAAGTGGCCCCTGTGGACAGGTCTGAAGGAAATGAATAGAAGAACATTCTCGTTAGGAAAAATCCTACAAAACTTGGCCGTCCTATACAACTCTCCTTCATTTCTTTATTATTAGGCATGACTGCTTGAGAGTATGTGTGTGTGTGTGTGTGTGTGTGTGTGTGTGTGTGTGTACACACGCTCATGCATGTGCATACACCAGCATACATCTGTGGCACTTGAGAAAATGTTTTAATAACATTATTCCCAAATTAAGTCAATAGTAAATTCACAGAACACGTCTAACTAGGGTGACCGTCTGCTCCACTTTGCCCATTACAATCTCTGCTTACACTGCATGACTGGCCCGAATTATTCTTAGAACCTTCTTTCTCCCCCGAAGCTGTCTACAGTTGGGATGATAAATCAACACAACGGTATAACCTACAGTCTCATATCCCACAGCAAAAAAGACTGAATTCTCAGAGCAAAAGGGCAATTTAAGTTCCCCTAGGAAAACAGACATATGTGCAGTCAGTGAGAGGTAGCTTCTACGCCAGGGCAACTTAACCGGAATGTCCAGTGACCACTACAGAGATCTGATTAATATTCACTGAGCACACACACTATGCTACCCACTCTGCTAATCTGCAGAAGGCATACTCCCTTCCCCAAGAAGTTGAAAGATTAATTTCTTCATCCATAAAGAGGCAGGGAATAGGCTTTAAAATCTACTTTTAGAAAGATAAGGATTGGATTTCCAGTCTCAGGACAATGTGAAGTAGACATACTTCTCTCTACCCCACCAAGCAAAGTTAAAATCCTGGACATAATACATAAGACAAACATAACATTACTCCAAAAAGTGGAGTGAGGAAGGCAAACCAGCCAAGGAACTCAGTACCCAGAGAAACAGATAGCAGTGAATTCTCTGGGTTTTCTTTTTTGCTTCATATATCCCAGACTGGACGGTGGAAAAGTCAGCAATCCATAAACATCAATAAGGGCAGACAATAAAAAGTCTCCCCCCATCTAAATCCTGCTCTCTCTAGCCAAATGACTTGGAAAAGGGCAGGCTAGAAAGACATAAATTAGACACAATATCCCTCCGGGACACAGAGGCAAAATCTTTAACAAAATATTAGCAAATAGAATTTAGCAATGTATTAAAACTTATACACCACGACCAAGAGAGTTTTATTCCTGAGATGCAAGGCTGATTCAATAATCAAAAGTCAATCAGTGTAATCTACCATCCTAACAGGTAAAAGAAAAAAAAATCACATAACTATATCAACTGATATAGAAAAATCACCTGATGAAACTCAATACCCATTCATGATAAAAAAAAAAAATTCTCAGAAAACTATGAATAGAGGCCTACTTGTTCAACTTGATGAAGAACTTCTACAAAAAAAAAAAAACTATAGCTGACATCATACATAATGAAAAACTGAATGATTTCCCTCTGAGACAAGGAACAAAGCAAGGATTTCTATTTTCATTACTGTTTTCAACACAGTGCTAGAAGTCCTAGCCAACACAGTAATGCAAGAAAAGGAAATAAAAGGCACACATATTGAAAAGAATGAAACTGTCCCCATCTGCAGATGACATGATGGCCTACAAGGGAAACTCCAAGGAATCTATAAAAAAAAATTCTCTGAACTAATAAATGATTTCAGCAAGAATAGGAATGAGTTTGGAGGAGAGAAGATTAATGTACAAAAATCAAAAGAATGGGGGTGCCTAGGTGACTCAGTCAGTTAAGCATTCGACTCTTGATTTCAGCTCAGGTCATGATCTCTGTGTTGTGGGATCAAGTCCTGTGTCAGGCTCTATACTCAGTGTAGAGTCTGCTTGTTCCTCTTCCTCTGCTCCTCCCTCTCAAATAAACAATTTTTTTTTAAATCAATAGGGACACCTGGGTGGCTCACTGGGTTAAAGTCTCTGCCTTCAGCTCAGGTCATGATCCCAGGGTTCTGGGATCGAACCCCCATCAGACTCCCTGCTCAGCAGGGAGCCTGCTTCCTCCTCTCTCTCTCTGCCTGCCTCTCTGCCTGTGATCTCTGTCTGTCAAATAAATAAATAAAATCTTTAAAAAAAAGTATTTTTATAAAATCAATAGAATTTTGATACACTAACACTGAATACTTGGGGAAAAAAATAAAAAATACAGTATCATTTACAAAGCTTCAAACTGAAGTTCTTAGATATATCAAAACATACACAAGATTTACATGCTGAAAACTATACAACAGTAATGAAAGAGTCAAAATAAATAAATATCATGTTCATGGATTGAATGACTCAACATAGTAAAGATGTCAACTCTCCTCAGACTGACATAAAGGTTTAACACAATTCTTTTTTTCTAATTTTTAAAGATTATTTATTTGAGAGAGAAAGAGATATGCAAGAGAGTACAAGCCAGAGTGGGGTGCAGAGGGAGAGGGAGAAGCAGGCTCCCCACGGAGCAGGAAGCCAGATGCGGGACTCGTTCCCAGGACCCTGAGATCATGACCTGAGCTGAAAGCAGACGATTAACTGACTGAGCTACCCAGATGCCCCAAAGGTTTAGCACAATTTGTATCAATATCTCAGCAAGATTTTTTTGTAGATCAAGACAAAACTGTTCTAAAATTTATATGGAAAGTCGGAGGAATTAGAATATCTAAAACAATTCTGAAAAATCATAATACAAGTGGGAGAGATAGAAGATATTTTATTATATAGTTATAGTAATCAAGTAACTAAGTAATGAAGGCAGTAATCAAGACCGGGTGGTAATGGCAGAGGGAAAAACACATCAATCAGTGGAACAGAGTAGAGAACCCAGAAACATACTCACACTAGTACAGACAACTCACTTTTGACAGAGGTGCAAAAGCAAGTCAATGGAAGAAGAATAGCTTTTTGTCTTTAAGATTTATTTATTTATTTTTAGAGAGACAGCATGCCTGACTGTGGGAGGGGCAGAGGGAGAGAATCTTTCAAGCAGCCCTAACCCCACCGCTGAGCGCGGAGTGGGGAGCCTGATGCAGGGCTCAATCCCACAGCTCATGAGATCATGACCGGAGCCAAAACCAAGAGTCAGACATCCAACCAAGCCACCCAGGTGCCCCAAGAATAACCTTTTCAACTAACAGCACTGAAGCAATTCAATATTCATAGGCCAAGAACACTGATGCAAACCTATCTTACATAAAACGATACAAAATGAATCAAGCAACTTGAATATAAAATGCAAAATTATAAAACTTTTAGGAGAAAACAAGAGAAAATCTTCAAGACCTAGGGCTTGTTCATGAAGAGTTTTTAGATGTAACAATAAAAGCACAATCTCTAAAAGATTAAAAAAATCAGTAAGTTGGACTTCTTCAAAATTTTAAAAACTTTTGTATTGCAAACGAGTGTTAAGAGGATGAAATGACAGGCTCCAGACTAAGAGAAAATATTTGCAAACCACGTTCCCGACAATTGATAGGCATTTAAAATATATAAAAAGAACTCTCAAATCTCAACAGCAAAAAACCAATTCAATTAGAAAATGGGCAAAGGACATGAAGAGACATGTTACCAAAGAGGAGACATGATGGCAAATACACACATGAAAGGACACTCAACGTCATTAGCCATTAGGGAAATGCAAATTAAGACCACAAAAGGATAGAACTACCCACCTATTTGAACAGCTAAAATTAAAAAACCAGTGACAATACCAAATGCTGGTGGGGATGTGGAGAAACTACATCTCTCATACATTGCTGGTGGAAATGTAAAATGGTGCAGCCATTTTGGAAAACAACTTGGCACTTTTTTTTTTGGCAGTTTTTTTTTTTAAACTAAACATACACTTGGGGCACCAGGTGGCTCGGTCAGTTGGGCGGCTGCCTTCAGCTACAGTCATGATCCCAGGGTCGTGGGATCAGGCCCTACATGGGCTCCCTACTCAGCGGGTAGTCTGCTTCTCCCTCTTCCTCTCCCACTACCCCTACTCCCAACTTACGTACTTGCTCATTCTCTCTCACTTTCAATTAAATAAAAATCTTAAAACAAAACCAAAAACTAAACATATACTCGGCACACAACCCAGCAATCATACCCTTGACCATTTTATTTTTTTTACTTCTAAGGCTTTTATTAGAATGTCTTACAAACTTTACATTTTTACTAACATCACATCAAGTGAAAAAGATAATTTAATTAGTACTGTATCTTTTTTAAAATTTGATTATAAGTAACACACAATGTTACATTAGTTTTAGGTGTACAGTATAGTGATTCAACATCTCTATAACTTGGCCATTTACACCAGAGAAATGAAAATTTGTGCACACACAAGAACCTACACACAAGATGCTCACAGTAACTTTGCTTATGATCTCTAGCAACTAGGCACAACCAAAATGTCTCTCAACAAGCGAATGGCTCAAGAGACTGCAGCACAGCCATTCCACAGAATAGCTCTTAGCAGTGCTCACTGAGATACGTAACTTAGATGTCAAGAGACTATGCCAAGTGAAAAAAGCTAAACTCAGAAGGGCACATGCTGTGTGATTTTATTTATATAACATTCTCAAAATGAAAAAATTCTAGAGATGGGAAACAGACCAGTGGTGGCCAGGAGTAAGGAATGGTGATGAGGAGAGGGTAGGTCTGA